CATTTGGCAAATGTGGCTCTCTAGCATAGCTTTTCAATATTTAAGCATTGCTCCATTGTGCAGTTGATCTTAGATGAACATTAGTTGATACAAATTTTGTGAGAGTTAAATAATAGTAAAAAATTTTTTGGTAGGCCCGGATTTTGTTGTGTGTGATGAAGGTCATATACTAAAAAATGAAGCTTCAGCTGTATCCAAAGCTATGAATTTGATTCGTTCAAAAAGACGAATTATTTTAACAGGAACACCTCTACAAAATAATCTAATGGAATGTAAGTTACTGTCCTCTTTTGAGTTATTTTGAGCTATTTTTTCAGCATGGATATGATTTATGTTCCTAATCTCTTTACCTACAGTCTTTTTAGAATTTTTTTCTTTTATTTATTAACTTGTCTGAATTATTTCAATTATTATAACATTTATTTCTGTTAAAATTTGTGTTTAAATTATGTCTTTGTGTTTTAAAAATATTATAAAGTTTTACTTATCATTAAATTTTCTGAACTATTTCTAAAAAATGTGCTTACCAACATCTTCAAATATAGTTGGATTGTTAAATAATTATTTGGCAAGTGCTAATTGAATTATCACATTTCATCAGATCTCATTTATTTAAAAAAACTTTGTTCATCATTATTGCATTAATGATATAAAATTGGTTGAATAAAATGTGATATATTGCAATGACAATTTATTTTTCTTCTCTTAGATCACTGTATGGTTAATTTTGTCAAAGAGAATCTTCTTGGTTCTGTTACGGAATTTAGGAATCGATTCATAAATCCAATTCAAAATGGCCAGTGTGCAGATTCCACCACGACAAATGTTCAAGTAATGAAAAAGCGTGCCCATATTCTCTATGAAATGTTATCTGGCTGTGTTCAGGTAGATGTAAAATATATATTCATCTATACTCAGTCAGTTTTAGTTGAAAAATCTGTAATTTTGCTTGCAACCTCTTCATGATATGTTGTTACATCTGAAGTATAAAGTAAGAAAGGCAAAGGTCCAAGCATGATCAATTTATTAGACTAGCAGTAAGCAGTGAGTTGAATCAGTTGCTTTTCTCAGTGACAAAGACCCCAAGGTAATTAGTTAGTTTTGGGAAATTCAAGAGAACAAAGGACATAGTTGGATAGGTAAGGAAAGACAGTTAGGGTAGATAGTCATAGGTGTTGGGACAGCATGATTGGTTACATCAAGGAAACTGGTGCTAGTAACTCCTCTCAGTATATTGTAGACATTGTGAGTGGACCTGAATTAGCAGATTCTCCAGAAAGCTTTGTTAGGAAGATAATGGTTTTCCTTGGTGGTGCAGAGACAATTCAGGGGCACTGTATCTCTTAGAACTTCCTTCAAGACAACTTGGTTCAAGATAACACCTGATGTTTTAGTATTTTCCTAGTTTTTCCCATTAATTGTAACTTTAATCTGAGAGGGAAAGTTGAGTTCTCAGGCTCAATTCAAGGACAAAGAAAGGTGGCTAGATAGTGTAATTGATAAATGAATAATAATCTCTTATACAATATATCTTACTTTTGGTTGGAGAAAAGTTATTTTTACCAAAATTTTTGGCACTGTCAGATTGTTAAACATTAGAAACTGACAAGTTTTTTTTTTTTATCAGTAGAAAGACATTAAAGAATAGGCATTGCCATCTGTTTTCCTGTTGCACCCTAAGGACTGTGGGACTTTTCAATCTGACTTGGAACTGAAGTCTTACATATACATACATATATTATATATATATATATATATATATATATATATTATATATATATATATACATACATATATATATATATATGTATGTATATATATATATATATATATATATATATATATATATATATATATATATATGTAATATCTATTTGTATCCCTAGTGCTTTGCACATATGGCAAGTATTTAACAAATATGTCCATTCATTCAATTATTCATCACCTTGAACCGTACCTAACCTGTCTTCAAGGAGTTCAAACACCATCTGTCCTGCCCAAGCAACCCAGGGGTGAGAACAGAAGTGGAAAAGGACACAGAAGACCATGTAGCTCTCTGAATTTTGATCAAGGAGCTGGATGGATGAAGGGAGGAATAAAAAACTAGGCTTCTTAGCCACCCAGTACCCTGATCCAGGACAGCCTGCTACATCCTAAGAGTAGACACACCAAGTGAAAGAGAAGCAACATCAGATAGTCAAGTTAACAAGCATTTATTAAGCACTTTCCATGTGTCAAGTATTGTATTGCAGAGACACATAGCCACCATCCCAAAATCAAGAAATTGCCATTCTAACAAGGAAACTATATTTGAGATATATAAACAATGTAAAAAAAGGGAATAATTTCAAAAAGGAAGGTATTAGTAGTGGGGGATGGAGAGCAAAGGAGGAGAGACCAGGAAAGGCTTCAGGTAGTAGATGGAATTTGAGGTAAGACTTAAAATTAAGTCAAATTTTTATTTATATGTTTGTAAATATCCATGTACTGCATTTAAGTTGTCAATTGTGTTAGTATTTATCAGTCAGACTTTTCCTGACCCCATAGGATATGGCCCTTCTGTCATCCATTATCTCTCAAACTCTATCCAAGTTTATGTTCGTTGTTTGCATGGCACTATTCTAACCAGCTTCAGTATTTGGCCTTCCAGTGAATAGCCAGAATTAGTTAATTTAAGTATTGAATGATTTGGTTTCCTTGTTGTCCAAGGGACTCTGGAAAGTCTTCTCCAGTACGAAAATCTGAAAGTGTTGATTTTGTGGAGCACAGCTTTCTTTATAGTTGCAATTCTCACATTGCTCCTGGAAAAACCATAGTTTTCACTATATGGAAGGGTCAGCAGGGTAATGCCTCTGCTTTTCAGCCTGCTGCCTAGATGTGCCTTTCTTTCCAAGGAGCAGTCTCTTTTAATTTCATGGCTGATGTCACCATGTGCAGAGATTTGAGCCCAAGACCATACAATCTGACACTACTTCCATTTATTCTCCCTCTATTTGTCAGGAAGTGATGGCCAAGCAATCAAGATTGTAGTTTTGTTTTGTTTTTTATTTTACATTTCAGGACATAGGTCAGAATAGTTAGTTTCTAGTAATTTCCTTTATTCATTTTTTTTCTGAAAAACCTCATTTTTTAATTTTCATAGTAAAAATTTGGGGCCCCTCTCTTTTTAGATCAAACTAGCTCATGACTTGAAAAAGCCTCACTTCAATTAAAGTCCATTTTTCTCCCATAGAATCATATTCAGCTTTGCAGGGTAGATCGTGTAAGACTGTATCTTTTGCCTTTTAGGTATTCCATGTTTTCTCACAAAATTTCTATCAGTAGCTGCCAGATCTTGTGGAATCATAAGTAGTGTGTGAACTGGTTCTTTCTGGATGAAGCATTTTTTGTTTGACATGGACTTTATGAATTTTGGCATTTGTGAGATTTTCTGTTTGAGATTACTTTCAGGAAATGATTGGGTATTCTTTTTCTCTTTGCTCTCTTGTTCTAATAGATTAGGGTAGTTTTACTCATGGTTTCTCAAATTATAGTATGTTGATCTTTTTTTTTTTTGGTTATGGTTTTTAGGGAGTTGAATGAGTCTTAAATTATTTCTCCTTGGCCCATTTTCCATTTTACTAGTTTTTTACATCAGAATCTTAGATTTCTTTTTTTTCCCTCAATGCTCTTGTAAATTCAGTTACCATTCTTTCCTCCAGGCCTTTTAGTCAAAAGACTCTTTCCTTATTTAACCCAGGTATTCATGCTAGATAGTTGGAACTCCATTGAATATTTTTGTAATCATTATGACTAATTTGCTTATTTATTGTGGGCATCTCTAGTTTTTATGTACATACACATACATATATTATGTATATTTATGCTGATGAAAGCTTTCTTTGATTTACTCATCTCTCTAGCTTTGGACATTTTATACCTTCTGCTGTACTTTTGATTGGGATGGTTAGTCTCAGAGTAATAATTTTTAAAGTTTCTTTATCTCAGTTAAGGACCTTGGCTCCCTTGGACTTGAAATCAAATTCACCCTTGAATTCTTACTACCTTGGACTCTTAGAAAGTTACTTCACCTCTGTTTGCCTTTGTTTCCTCAGTAGTAAAATGTGCTTACAGGCTTGTTGTGAGGATCAAAGGAGATAAATATGTAGAGTGCTTAGTGCTTTAGGCTTGGCATATAGTATAAACGTTAGAGATTTATTACTCTCTGTTGCAGCTAAAATCCCATCTTCTATAGGAAATCTTTTCCAATTCTCAATTATGTTGCCTTTCCTCTTTGAATAATTTCCATATTTATTGTGTACATTTCTGGTTTTGACAATATTGTTAGCTTCTTTTTTCTTTCTTAGATTGTGAACTCTTTAAGGGCAGGGACTGTTATTTTGCCTCTTTGTTGTAGACCCAGCACATTGCCTGCCACATGATGGACTCTTAATAAATGTTTGTTGACCGAACTGACAGACTGACCATCTTATGACTTTCTAAAACACAAAACCATGTGGACAGCCTCTGCAAAAGAATCCCTATAGAAAAAAGCAGCCTAGCACTGTTGTAGGTACCACAACATTGACTACTAAATACTAAAAGCCACCCAGTCTGAAATCTATCAGTTTTGTTGATGTGAAAAGTGAAGGCAGAGAACCATTTGGGGAGTCAAAATTTGGTATGTCTTCATGAGAAATTTTAAATACAGATAATATAATAAATTTATGAAATGCAAGATAATAGAAAATGAAGAACTATGTGTATGGTGAAAATTAGGTCAGAAGGGACCATTTGTTGGATAGTGAAAAAAGAATTTATTTTCACTGGACTCAGGTTGTTTTTTTTTTATTAGTACAGAAAAGATCATTTTTAAAAAGTTAAATCTAAGAGAACCAGTGATTGATTATGTTAAAGAGATTATAAGCTTGAGAGTTAGGCTATTTTGGAGTTTGGAATATACCTGAATTAATTACTAGTATGAGAGCATAATTTATTTTCATTTCTTTATCTTACAGAGGAAAGATTGCACAACATTAGCAGAGTTTTTACCACCCAAACATGAGTATGTATTAGCAGTAAGAATGACTTCTATTCAGTGCAAGCTTTACCAGTACTATTTGGATCACTTCACAGGTAAAAAAAAAATTAATTTGTGTGATTATTCTTTCATGTTAATTTGTAAGGGTTTATTTGTTCCTCAAATAAAAGTGTTATTTAAAAAATTTGGAGACTTCCCCTTCCGGGAGCCAAGATGGTGGAGTGAAAAGGTAGTTGCTCTCACTCTCCCCTATCAACCTCTGAAAACCCAGAAAATATCACCCCAGAAAAAAACCCTGGAACACCTGAACTAGAAGAAAGACAGGGAGCAGCAGTGCAGCAGCCCAGCAAAGGGTCTCCCAGTGCCTCAGCAAAAATAAGGGAGGCAGAACTACAAGGGGCCCCAGGCAATAAGTACCCTGCACATTCATCTGAAAGGAGGTGAAGAAAACAACCTAAAGGCTTCCTAAAGCCCCAGCCTTGCTGATTCCAACCCAACACCAGGTGAGCTATCAGAGCCCTGCAGCCTCCAATTGTGAAGAAATCCTGAAGCCCAGGTGGTAGAGCAGGCAAACACCAACACCTGGACCTCCGAGTGCCTCAGTGAGGGTGGGGGAACCGGTGGAAACCAGCTCAGAAAACCACCAGGTGCCTGGCACTCCCCAAAGGAATCTCCCAGTGCATTAGCAGAAAAGGGAGACAACACTGCAGGGGGCCCCAGGCAGATAACACCCTGCAGCACCCATCTAAAAGGAGCTGAAGAAAGCTAAAGGAAAGGAAAAGCAGGCAACCTAGAATTGCCTGAAAGTTCCAGCCTTGCTGATTCCAGCCCAACACGAGGTAAGCTGCCAGAAACCTACAGCCTCCAATTGCCAGCATAAGAGGCCCCAGCACACAAAGCCAGTGACCAAGACCTAGGCTCCCAACACAAGAAGCTTGGGTCAGTACCCTCTGTTCCCCAGCAGGAGAGCTCAATCTCTTTAAAGGCCAGGGAATAAAGAAACACCATGAGTAAAAAGAAATGTACCATAGATTCATATTATGAGAAGAGTGAAGATCAAGACAGAAATTCTGAAGAGGACAACATTGTCAACAAACCCACATCTGCAACAACAAAAGGGAATATGAACTGGTCTGAAGCCCAAAAAGCCTTCTTAGAAGAGCTCAAGAAGGATTTTAATAGTCAAATGAGAGAGGTAGAAGAGTCCTTCAAAAATACAATTGGCCAATTGGAAAAAAAATACACTGAAGAAAACAAGTCCCTAAAAAACACAATTGGCCAATTGAAGAAGGAAGTACAAAAACTAACAGAAGAAAACAATCTGTTAAAAACTAGAATTGGACAAATGGAAACTAATGTCTCTATGAGAGAGCAAGAATCAGTCAAACAGAAACAAAAAAATGAAAAAATAGATGAAAATGTAAAATACCTCATCAGTAAAACAACGACCTGGAAAATCGACTCAGGAGAGACAATTTAAAAATTATTGGACTACCTGAAAATCATGATGAAAAAAAGAGCCTGGACAGTATCTTTCAGGAAATCATAAAGGAAAACTGCCCTGAAGTCCTAGAACCAGAAGGGAAAATAACCATAGAAAGAATCCACGATCACCACCTGAAAGAGATCCCAAATTGACAACCCAAGGAAATAATAGCAAAATTCCAAAATTACCAGATGAAAGAGAAGGTGCTGCAAGCAGCCAGAAAGAAACAATTTAAATATCATGGAACCACAGTCAGGATTACACAGGACCTTGCAGCTTCTACATTAAAAGACGCAGGGCATGGAACATGATATTCTGTAAGGCAAAGGAGCTTGGAATGCAGCCAAGGATCAATTACCCAGCAAAAATGAGCATCATTTTTCAAGGGAGGAGGTGGATATTCAACAAATAGGAGACTTCCAAACTTTCCTGATAAAAAGACCAGAGCTCAACAAAAAATTTGATCTTCAAGTACAGGACTCAAGAAGGACTTAAAAAGGTAAATGGGACAGAAGATACAATATGTTGTTAATAAGGGGGGGGTTTAAACCCTACAAGGGAATATGAGACTTGCAACCCTTGAGAACTGTATTGTTATTACACCTTGTTAAAGGAGTATACATAAAGAGGGTGGATATTAGTTGACTTTGATGTAATGATAAAAAAAATCTAATCAAGTGGGTTAAATGGATCCAAATAAGTGGATCAATCTGATCTTAGAAAATGTACTGAGAAAGGAGGAGGCAGACAAGGGTAAATTACATTACAGGAAAAGACACAAAATCCTATTAGCAGAGGGAAAGAAGGGAGGGGGGAGCATTGTTTGAACCTTACTCTCATCAGATTTGGCTCAAGAAGGGCATAAATAATCAGTTAGGTATAGAAATCTAACTTGCCCTATAGGCAGTAGGAGGGAAAAGGGAAAGAAAAGGGAGGGGGGAAAGAAGGGAGGGAAGAAGCAGTAAGACTAAAGGGGAAGAAAAGGGAAAGGGATAATAAAAGGGGGAGGGACTGAAGGAGGCGGTGGTCAAAAGCAAAACACTAGTGAAGGGGGAAAGGAAAAAGGAGAAAGAAAAGCATAAATGGGGGAAAAGGATGGAGAAAAAGACACAGATAGTAATCATAACTGTGAATGTGAATGGGATGAACTCTCCCATAAAAGGAAACGGATTGCAGAATGGATTAAAAACCATAATCCTACAATATGTTGTTTACAGGAAACACATTTGAAAAAGAGTGACACATACAGGGTAAAGGTAAAAGGCTGGAGCAGAATATATTATGCGTCAGCTGAAGTAAAAAAGCAGGGGTAGCAATCCTGATCTCAGACAAAGCAAAAGCAAAAATAGATCTAATCAAAAGAGATAAGGAAGGAAACTACATCCTGCTAAAAGGCACCATAGACAATGAAGTAATATCATTACTAAACATATATGCACCAAATGGTATAGCATCCAAATTCTTAGAGGAGAAGTTCAGGGAGTTACAGGAAGAAATAGACAGCAAAACTATACTAGTGGGGGACCTGAACCTCCCCTCTGCACTAGATAAGTCTAACCACAAAATAAACAAGAAAGAAGTTAAGGAGGTGAATAGAACATTAGAAAAGTTAGGTATGATAGACCTCTGGAGAAAACTGAATGGGGATAGAAAGGAATATACTTTTTTCTGCAGTACATGGCACATACACAAAAATTGACCATGTACTAGGGCATAAAAACCTCACAATCCAATGCAGAAAGGCAGAAATATTAAATGCATCCTTTTCAGATCATGATGCAATAAAAATTATATGTAATAAAGGGCCATGGAAAGATAGACTAAAAAATAATTGGAAACTAAATAATCTAATCCTAAAAAATGATTGGGTCAAACAACAAATCATAGAAACAATCAATAATTTCATTCAAGAGAATGACAATAATGAGACAACATACCAAAACCTATGGGATGCAGTGAAAGCAGTTCTTAGGGGAAGTTTTATATCTCTAAATGCTTACATAAATAAAATAGAAAAAGAGGAGATTAATGAATTGGGCATACAACTAAAAAAACTAGAAAAAGAACAAATTAAAAATCCTCAACTAAACACCAAATTAGAAATATTGAAAACCAAAGGAAAAATTATAAAATTGAAATTAAGAAAACTATTGAACTAATAAATAAAACTAAGAGCTGGTTTTATGAAAAAACCAATAAAATAGATAAGCCTTTGGTTAATTTAATTAAAAAAAAAAGAAGAAAACCAAATTACTAGTATCAAGAATGAAAAGGGTGAAGCTACCACCAAGGAAGAGGAAATTAAAACAATAATTAGGAATTATTTTGCCCAACTATATGCCAACAAATTTGACAATCTTAGTGAAATGGATACATATTTACAAAAATATAAATTGCCCAGATTAACCGAAGAGGAAGTAAAATACTTAAATAACCCCATCTCAGAAAAAAAATTGAACAAGCCATTGATGAACTCCCTAGGAAAAAATCTCCAGGGCCAGATGGATTTACATGCGAATTCTATCAAACATTTAAAGAACAATTAATTCCAATACTATATAGACTATTTGGGAAAATAGGTGAAGAAGGAGTCTTACCAAATTCTTTTTTGATACAAATATGGTGTTGATACCTAAACCAGGAAGAGTCAAAATAGAGAAAGAAAATTATAGACCAATTTCTCTAATGAATATAGATGCAAAAATTTTAAACAAAATACTAGCAAGTAGATTGCAGCAACTTATCACAAGAATAATACACTATGACCAGGTAGGATTTATACCAGGAATGCAGGGTTGGTTCAATATTAGGAAAACTATCAGCATCATTGAGCATATCAACACAAAACCAACAGAAACCACATGATCATCTCAATAGATGCAGAAAAAGCTTTTGATAAAATACAACACCCATTCCTATTAAAAACACTAGAAAGCATAGGTATAAATGGAGTCTTCCTTAAAATAATAAATAGCATTATCTAAAACCTTCAGCAAGCATTATATGTAATGGGGACAGGCTAGAAGCATTTCCAATAAGATCGGGGTGAAACAAGGATGTCCATTATCACCACTGTTATTCAATATTGTACTGGAAACCTTAGCTTTAGCAATAAGAGAAGAAAAAGAAATTGAAGGCATTAGAATAGGCAAAGAAGAAAAGCTATCACTCTTTGCAGATGACATGATGATATACTTAGAGAATCCTAGAGAATCAAGTAAAAAACTACTTGAAATAATAAACAACTTTAGCAAAGTTGCAGGCTATAAAATAAACCCACATAAATCATCAGCATTTCTATATATTACCAACAAAGCCCAACAGCAAGAGATAGAAAGAGAAATCCCATTTAAACTTACTGTAGACATTATAAAATATTTAGGAGTCTACCTCCAAACAAACCCAGGAACTCTATGAACACAATTACAAAACACTTTTCACACAAATAAAATCAGATCTAAATAATTGGAAAAATCAGTTGCTCATGGGTAGGCCGAGCTAATATAATAAAAATGACAATCCTACCTAAGCTAATTTACTTATTCAGTGCCATACCAATCAAACTACCAAAATTATTTTATAGAGTTAGAAAAAATAATAACAAGATTC